GACACCCAGTAAAAAGACAGTCGGCAGGCGGAGGGCAGCATTCAGCCAGCCCTCAAAAAGTGGGCGCAAAGAAGAAGTAGCCTTATTATTATGAACACAGCACGTAGCAATTGTACAGAGGCAAGGGGGGTTGGTTGCCAGAGAAGGGGAATACATCCTTCGAGGGGGGTTGAGTTGGCTCGCAGGGAGGCACACACAAAGGACCCGCAAAGTACAAATCAAACCCTCGAGAGCGGCCAAATAATAAACAGTGACTGATGGGGGGGACCGGAATGGGGGAAAGAAAGAGCCAGGGCTAAAGAGTGCGAGAGAGAGGGAGAAAGCGAAAGAGAGACAGTGAAACAGAGTGCGAGAGAAATGCGCAGCAATGGCGCACTGCAAACACACACAGAGTGTGAGTGAGAGAGAGCACCTTTGGGGGTGTGTCCTCATTTGCTGCTACATTCCCACATCTGGGCTCTCACTCACACACCCTGCTGCTGGCCATGTTACTCGCTACTCGCCCAGCCATTATCTCACTCACACCCGCACACACAGACACCCTCGTGAAAAGAGAGATAAGATAGCTCTGAACGTAGCACGTTCTGCATTCTGATTTTAGTAGCCGCGAGTTCTCGTCGCCAGCACCACGCACTGAGTTAGTTGTTCACCGTTAACCAACCCCGCTTCCGCTCGTGGAAACCGAACCGAAAGGCTCAGACCATAGCGCCCGGATTCCCGTTAGCCGCCCCTTTACGTTCACTCGCTGCTCGCATCCAAAAGATACTTTAACGAGCGCCCTCGCATTCGCTTTCAATCCAGCCACGTCCTGTTACGAGTGCAGACGCGTCGCTTCCGTTTAGATTCCCAGATTTGATACAGAAAGACCAGAGATATATAGATACATTTGACTTGACTACTTAGCCTAATTACGCGGCGGATTAAATTATTAAAACACTGAATCAACTGAATCAACAGTTCAAAACAAATCAAATCGAAGTCGATTCAAATCAAAGCCAATCAAATTACAGCCAGTGCAAGTGCGCGATTATGTGTGGTGATTTTGAGTGCCAGTGTCCAGCGTGTGTGTGAGAGAGTGTGTATGTGGCAGCCAGCGAGCGTCGAGAATTAAAAACATATCCCCGAGTTACTTAAAATTAATCACTAACATAATCACTGTGATTTTTATTATTTGATCTGCCACCGAATGCCGCCGCTGTGAGCCGCGAGTGCGAAAACTATAAACGGCTCTATTAAATGCCACTTCGCCTTTTGATTAGCAAACTGTTGCAATGACAACGGCATAAACACAAATAAAAACATATCCAACCCATAAAAACCTAAACACCTAGTGACGGACGGATCTGATCCATTCCGATTTCCGAGATTTATAGTCTTGCTGCCCACGCGACTTCTCCAGAAGATTTTCCCCGGGCTTTCGAAGATTTTCGAAAATTTCCGTGCGATTGAAATGCTGGCAATCTGATTTATTGCCTTTTGCCCACGACATTTGCTCCTGCAGAAAAGCTACATATAGCAAAGTTCACCTCAGGTCCGATATTTTGATCATATATCACGGATCGAAGGAGCCGACGGAACAACGTTCCAGCGCCGATCGAACGGCCACCACCTAAGTGGATTAATTGAATTACTTTCCCATCATTCAGAGGTAAGAATGTTTAACTACTTTTGTTTATATTCAACACATTATATCAGAGATCAGGTTATGGATATATATATTCCTTAAAAAAGCTAGCCTTGTTTTAAATAATATACCAACCATACAGTTCTACTTTACAAATGGAAAGGGTTAATAAAAATTTCAAACATTTATTTATCATAGATGTTTATGGTTTTAAAAGAGGGAAAATAAATATAATATACATTATTATGAATTAGGAACATCCATTTTCTCTTAACTATCACCATTATTAACCATTCATCATAAAGATATTCCGACACACGCTTGTCAACTTTTTGTTTTAAATATCATTGAAAGTCTCAAGGTATTCAGAGAATTTAGTTTTTGATCTTATTGGACATAGTAGATGGCTTAGGAAATAAATTAGTTGATGAAAGAAAAAGGATTAGGATATGACAAGAGTTTTGAATTCGAAAAATTCTTTTGATAGTGTTAGCTTTCTAATTGATTCATTGTCAGGAAACTGAAAGTGAAACGGCGCCAGATTTCTGGCATTAGGAAGTGTTAGGTCATTGCAAACAGAACTTTCTTGGTAAACAACTTCCTGGGAACTTAATCGCTTCATAATGACAATGTCAATTTCATAATTGCCCAGATGCTGGGGAAACATCCTAGGTTTCTGGGGAAGATCAGGAGAGATCAGCAAAAGGTTCCCATCTCCAAGCCCGCCAATAAACCGATTGTTGGAGAACGAATTAAGTTTACGGAGCGCTCTCACGCCTCGCATAAATCACGGCGAAGTGAGACCCGGGAATTGCGACCATAAAACCCGTAGAGTAAAGCCCGAGCCCCATCTCGTAAGGGGGCCTCTGGGCTTTTGGCCCAGTACCAGTAGTGTCAGTGCTTTTGCCAAAAATCGGGGGAAGTGGCGCCGACCCATTGACGTCACCTAAACAATTAGATCTGGCCGGTGGGGCAAACAAGGCATGGAAAAAACCTAAGTACACAGAGCTGCAAACTCGAATTTGTATAAAATAATAAAAATAATAAAATCAAATGGGAATGAAAACATGTGGAAAGCCTTGGCACAACATCGGAATCTTGCCACCTTCGCTGCTCTGCTCTGCTCTGCGATGAAGAAGTATGTATAAGCCTGCGAGATCTGCGCGGCCATAAAGTGGCATAAAATAATTCTGGCATTCTTTGTCTTAGGGAATCATTATGTAAATAAATTCTCACTTTTGAAATAAAATGACGAGGCAGAAAATAGACGGCCAGAGACGAATACGACAACGACGACGACAACATTTGGGAGAATATCTTTTGTGGGGACAATGGCAATGACGGCTGGCACTTTGAACTGGGAACCAAATTATTTATTAGACACTGCGGCAGATAATTTAGCCAGAAATGAAGACAACTGCGGCAACAAGAACAAATAGCAAAATAACCGAGGCAATAACAGTGTTATAAATACTCGGAGCAATAAATGCAGAAACTTTTCATTTCAACGGCCATCTGACCCCCAATCTCATCACACCGCCTCGGCACCCGGCATCGCCCCATAAATATTCGCTTCAAGTGAAATTATGTTTATCATATTGTTGTTGAACAACCGCAAATGGATTTAATATTACAGCCGCACTAATCCACTGGGGATCAAGTGGAGATCAAGCGGTATTATCAACGAAATCGAAAGTGACACGGCAAGCCAAAGCATTCCAATTAAAATTAATTAAATTCACTTCAACTGCGAATTTATGCTGCTGCTAGATTTATGAAATTCGTTCTCATTTCGCCTTTGAATGCCTTTAGTTTGTTGTGATTGAGATTAGATAACCATTTATTGCAACCTTTCGTTTCGTTTCATTTCGTTTCGTTTGCCTCGCTTGCCTGGCTGCGATAGCAGGCTATATAGTATATAGAGAGGTGAATATATACACATAACATATAGCTGGAGAGTCTCCCCGATATCGGGCGAGGGGCGCTGGAATATGGCGAGGTGTTCCCTCCCTTTTGGCTAATTGATTTACGATCGTTTATGGCTATTTTCGTGCTACTGTCAGTGGGCTGTTTTTTATTTTTAACAAATTTATTGGACGCCCTGACACAGTTTATCGCCTTAATTGGGTGCAAGTCAACTCTCTCTTGCTTTTACCTCTATTATTCCATTGGGCTCTGCGTTTGGTATTTCCAAAATCTCTCAGTGTAGCCTCAGCGCAATAATAATGGCAATAATAGCAAAGAGAAATGCTCGCAGAAATGTAAATATTTTACATCGATAAGGCCGTTATCACCGTTCTCCCCTCGGTCTGCTGATAGCGTTGTCAACTCGTACACCCCATCCGATTCCCCGCCAGAATTTACGACGACCAGTTCACTCTCCCTGCTACTCCCTTCCCCTCCAGAGTTACTCCAGTTACCAGCATCCGAGGCATGGTCTTAACCCCTTGACGTGTTTGGTGTTAACTTGCCATTCGGCTGGTGTTTGGGTTAAGCTCACTGTTTGCCTTTGCCGTTGAGGCGATAAAAAGCCTCCACAAGTTGATTTGCCTTCGCCTCCCCAAGTAGCCGAATGATAATTATAATTAACTAACGGGCGGAGAAGGTAGTGCAAGGTAGGAATGAACTCGTTATGAGTAATTTTCAGTACTAGACAACATCTGAAAACTAGCAAACAATAGAGCCTAGAGGAATTATTTATACAGTCTACCTAAATGGATTATTTAATTCATTCACTTTAGTGGTTAAAGCTTCTTGAGCAGTTTAGGAACTCATTAAAAGTCTACCACAATTATATATTGGTACCATAAATATTTTATACACAAGTTGTATATATTTATGTATTTATATTTACATATATTAAGTTAGTAAATACTTAATAGTAAAAAATAAGTATTTATTCATTGTTTTTGTTTCGTAATAAATATTTTGAAAAGGATATATATTTTATATAGTAAATTAGCATACTTTTTTAGATTTCTTTACCAAGCTTAGTATAATCAGCAATCTATAGCAATTAATTATTTATTTTACATATCATACCATTTCATTATTATTTTATCCAAATATTTTCCCTGTTATTAAACTTTTCCATTTAACTTTTTTAGCTTTCCGAGCTCTGGCAACGGCTGCATCTTGGATTTGCTCTCACCGCAGTTGGAAGATACCGGCCTCAAGACGACGACCTTCCTGCAGCACTTCAAGGACGTCGTCACGACGAAGTTCACGGGGAGGGACCACCACCTGCCGCCGCTGCATCCCGCCCATCCGGCGCATCCGGCGCACCAGCAGTACAGCCACAGTCATAACCATAGTCACGGCCATCAGCCTCACCAGGCTGTCGCCCAGAGCTTCTCCACCATTTTTCCCACGTATCTAGGCATGGACCGCACCGCCGCCGGCGGTTGCGGAGCGGCGGGGGGCGGCGGTCTAGGCGTTGGTGTGGTCACCAGCTCAGCCACTGCCCTCGGTCCCGGCGGTATAGCCAATGGGGGCGGTGGCGTGGTCAGTGGAGGAGCCCTCAATGGCCTGGAGGCCATGTCGGCGGAGTCCACGGGCCTCTGTCTGCAGGATTTGGTCAGTGCCGGAACGGCCAATGGAGCCGGCTCCGCTGGATCGGCGGAAAGTGCCACCACCACAAGCACGGCTCTGAGCAGCGGCAGCACTGGCAGTTCCACGGTCAACGGAGGAGGAAGCAGCACCTCCGGCACGGAGCATCTGCATAGCCATCACAGCCTGCACGATTCCAGCTCCTCGGTCAGCATCTCACCCGCCATATCCAGCCTGATGCCCATCAGCAGCCTGAGCCACCTGCATCACTCGGCCGCCGCCGGGCAGGACCTGGTGGGTGTGGGTGTCGGAGGCTACTCGCAGCATCCGCACCACGCTGTGGTGCCGCCACACACGCCCAAGCACGAGCCGCTCGAGAAACTCAGAAGTAAGTATCGAATAATGAAGGTGTTACAGTCCAATTTTTAAAATCATATTCAATTTTATTTGATTTATTTTTTATATTTGATGGGGAACTCCTTAAAAGACTCAAAATAAATATATGAAACTTGTATCTCCATATTTTGAAGAGCATAATTTTTAGACATATCTTTATATTTCCAAAAGCTAGATTTTTTTGCTTAAATGAACATGAAGTCAGGAAAACTTTTATAATGTTCTAATTCTTAAAATAATAATGAAGACGTTTTTTAAAGCAAGATTCCCCATTTGTTCCGCTCTCTTTTGAAAACTTATTTCTCGAATTCAGAAGCGGCATTTTCGTGTCCAATAATGGGGCACAATTTCGTGGGCAATTTGTAGTCGAATTTGTGTGAAGCATCTCGCACATTGACAGCTAATTAGTGGGCTCATAACTCAGGCGGGAAGAGGGCCGATTCCGAGGGATCCATTCCTATTCCAATTCCTATTCCGATCCGGATCCGAGCCATCAACAAGTGTCCACATTCTCATTGCTATTCATGGCTCTTTTGTGGGTTTGTCTTTTTGTTTCTTTTTTTTTGCCTCTGTCAGTGGCAGCTGTTGTCATTTCAATATGCGATTCGTTTTGGCCATCATTCACGCTTCGTGCCAAAAGTCCCCCGAACACTTGTCGCTCTGGGTTCCGGATTCAGTATTCCGTGTTCCTTTACCCCGAATTGCCTACTCCGGATTCCCCCTCATGCATATTCATAATCATTGTGCAATCATTAGCGTATAATCTCCACAAAAGCGTTACAAAAAAAAAGAAAGGAGGAGTTGGGTGGAAAAGCGGATTGGAGATACAACTAAACAAATTTCAATTTTGTGCGCATGTCACGGCTAATTGAGCACCCTTCTGGCGTAGTGCCGAAAGCAACACTCTACCCCCGGATCTGCCACTTCCCCTTACAAGCATTATAATACCATATAGAGAGTGTATCCCTCTGTGAGGCTGGATATTTGATATGTGCTCTGGAGTCAAGTGTTTGTTGTGTTCCGATTGCTCTAATTGTTATGGGAGTTTGGACGCAGGGCGATGCTTTAGAGGATGTTGGATGATTTCGAATTGTGAGGCAATTCCGCAGATTCAAGTGGCGATGTGACATACCAATTGGTTCTGGGAGAGATTTTGGGTACTTGTGAGGTCTATCCAGATGGTCAGGGAACCTGTTGGTTAAAGGTAATGCTTCAAGGATAGAAAATGTATACTTTTAGATCCATTTTTATAAGAAGAATAGCTTAATGACTTAAATCAATTTAACGATAGGGGAAATTATAAAAAATTATATTGCTATTGCACTGAAATTTTAATAACTTTATACAAGAAAAGATTATGGAAAATTGTCTTTAAAAAAAAACCTACAACCTATACAAATACCATTGGACTTTATAAATGAATGATCGAAACGGAAATCGATCTTAACAAAATTTAACATAATTGAACTCCCTGAAATAATATTTATCAATATTTTTATATGACAATTTTCCCGACAAATTAAAATTTAAAAAGCTCATAACTAAGCCAAAAATAATTTAATTTCAATTCGTATATCTTTCCGATGTTAGTTTTTATTAGGGTAATAAATCTGCATACCCAATTTTAAATTTAAAAAATGCAAATTTTTGCCTTATTGAAATGAAATGAATCCTTCACTATTTTTCAAGTCTTTGACTGAAAGTATAGGGGTATTAAATTAAATTAAAAAAACTTTCCAAAAAATGTATGATGAACATTTTTTTAATATTTTTTTTCTTCGTGTCGACTCCAAAAAGTTTGAGTTGCTCAGCAGAGGTTCTCTTCTGGCTCCAAAAGTTTCCATTTGCATAACAGATTTGTCTGCCCTCGCCTAGAGATTTGTTGGCTGTCGCCCTGTCAACCCCGGTGACCCTGCCCCCGGGGGTTAACAGCCTCTGCAACTGAAGCTGAGTGTGTGTGTGTGTGTGTGTGTGTGTGTGAGCACCTGTCTGCAGGTGAACTAAACTGCGGTGAACTCCTGGCCACAGATGTCCTGCCGTTTATTTGCGTGCCAAAACAATTTAGCACGAAAACGGTGCCCATTTAAAATATGCACGAGTGCAGTTATCCTTTGACACAAACCCACACACTCGCAGGTGCAGGTGCAGGAGCAGGAGCCAGAGCATTTTGGCCACAAATTTCCACTCCTGTTTTAACCGATTTTCCCTCATGTTCAGCTGTTGTCGTTATTGTTTACGCTCTTGTTTAAATAATGGCCACGCAACGTGATTCCAGGATTTCCATCAGGACACCGGCAGACTCGGCGATTGTAGTCCTGCTGCAATTGGATTTTCAATTATTGGCCAATTTAATGGTCAACACCCACGCCATCGTTTCTTTGTGGATATTTATTTACGTTTATATTTTATACTATGTGTGCGATGCGGAGGTAATAATTTTTTACGATTGCACTTTTTTATGGTCGCCTTTTAGTTTTGGACTCTTTCGATTTATTTTCGGTGGAGAGATCATTTTATGGCTTCGGTGCGTGTTTTTATTTCACTGACGGTGCTCAAAGGATTTCAAGTTCACGTTTTACACTAATTTAGACCGACGGCAGAGATTTTTATTAGTTTCGGCTATTCAACTCTTTAATGGCTCCGGATTGTCTTCTAAATTATGTTGTCAGCAGCTGGGAGACCGACCTTGCGCCTTGTTTTTCCCCAATATCTCGTTTTTCATATTTCACCACCGACGTGTCGCGGCAATTAGGGAATTATCTCGGTATATCAGTGACCATATCCACATATCCACTGGCATCTATTTGCCGAAGCCAAACAGAACCCGAAAATGAAAATGAAACTGAAACCGAAAACGAAGCCAAATGGGAATGGAAACCAAATCAGAGCAGTTTACGTTTAGGTTTTTGGTTGGTCGGCAAATAATAGATGTTGTTTCTATTTCTCTTTTTTGTCTCTGCCTATTTTTCCTTTTTTTGTTTTTATTGCCAGCTAGTCTCCGGATTGTTTGCCAAGTTGTTGCCACAGATACGAGATTGAGAACTATTTGCCCATGACAATGTTTGTGGCTGATGCCGTTGATAAAATTATGAAATTACTAGAGTGCTTCAGTTTCGGCGTTTGGTGTTCTGGTGAAATCGCCTGTTATCTGTTGTGTCTACACGGAGCTAAAATACTCCCATCTTTCCTCCCTAAGTGTTAATGGCACGTGCAGCTAGCCGGGCTCTAAGAAAACACACACCAGAATAACATAAACAGAGCAAGGGCCCCAGACAAGGTGTCCCATCCCCAGTCGGGAGATACACACGAAAATATAAAGCTGGGGGAGGAGTCCTTTGGGCTACTTTAAATTCCACACCAATGCCCGCATTTGTCAGGCCGGGTCTTTATGAATATAAATACCTTTTATCGATTTTTTTTCCACGCTTCATGCTATGCTCTCTTAAAGCCTTAAAGGCTTCCACATCCTGCGGGATGTTTGGCAGTGCATTGTCCGCAAATCTCTGCGAAATTGCTCACATATGTCATCGGGTCTAGGGAAAAACAAAAAGATCGCACTCGAATTGGCACTGCCAGGACCCGGGAATGTCACATAAATTGCACTTGCTGACCGGCCAGGATAATCAGGAAGTGCACAGTGGTTCTGGAGTAGTGAGATAAATGCAATACAAGTATGTTTCTGTGGGTTATTTGAAGTTAATTGGGAATTATATGAACTAAAATAATGTAATTTGACAGGAGTAAAATCAATTCTTTATGCATTTATATTTAGTGTTTATTCAATATCTATTTGGCTAAATTATAACCCTAAGAGTCAGTATTATAGGACATTTAAAAACTTTTAAATTACCAAGTAAAATCTTTTCCCCAATATTATACAAATTCCTTTTAGTATTTATAGAACCTACTAGAAATATATCTTTGATATTGAAACACTGTAACTGGCGTTAAAGTTGCCATTTATCAATCCATCTGCTCAGCTCTATCTCCGGTCTTTCCGGCTAGCTGGCACTGATTTCGTTTATATAAATTATAATGTCATTATGGCAACCAGCCACAACCACAACCCTCAATCACCGACACATTCACATTCCCATTGCCCTTCCTCCCATCCCCAATCCCCATTTTCCCTGGGACGAAAGCAATTACCTCGTTGCAGAAGTTCGTCGGGAAAACTTCATGGCATTTCTCTCTTACACACACACTTTCTCTCTCTCTCTCTGTGCGCTTTTCCTCTTTTCCGGCTCTTTTCTCATTATCCGGGCATCGTGCAATTTCGTAAAAATGTCGCATTAGAGATTATCTGAGGAAACAAACTTGTCCGGCGGACAAGGACTCGCAGGTCCTGCCGGAGCAGGAGCAGGGCTCTCCTTTGGCCGGTTTTTGTGGGCTGACCCAATGGCAGGCAAGGAAAGCAAAGGCAAAGAAAGGAATTCGAGCTGACAGTCGGGCAAATTACTGGCAAAGTCATTGCAGTGGAAAACTACAAGGGGGAAATCTAGTCTGGACACTGGACACTGGGAGCCACACAAAAACAGAAGCTTGTCTGATGGGTGGGCTGTGTCCTTTTGCGTCCCTTTGTCTTATCTGCAGCCCAGAAAACTAATGAGTTCGGGTTTTTGGCTGCAGGACTCCACTCTGTGCGCCATTCCTTGGGACATGTCAATGTGATTTCCGAGATTTTTATGCGACTCCTCCGGTTGGCTGGTCAAGTGCCGGGAGCTCATTACAGGGCCATAACACATGGCCGGCCATTGTCTCGGCCAAAGGATTAGTCTTGCGAGACATAAAAATTAACTCTCCGGCCATTGCCTAATTTTCATGACCCCGAATTAGGCTAATTTGTGCGAGGGTTGCTCTTGCTCCCGAGAGCTCTTTCCGTTTTTGCGGCATATGGCCGGCAATTTCCACGGACATCAACACCTTTTGGCCGGGCAGAAAGCCAGCAAATGTGGCATGAAATTGGAAAAATATTACTACTATCTGCGGCACAGGAGGGGGAAACCGCAAGTGTTTAACCCTTTGGTGGCCCGGCGAGTGGTTTACAGCAAAAGCAAGTCCTGCTCCGGATCCAGGGAATCCTAGTCCCATTTCCAATTCCAATCTCAATTCGAAACCCAATCCCAATCCCCATTCAACTGTCACATTAATCGTTTGTTTTTGGTCACCAACTAAACGCGGCTGCTGCTTGACATTTTCCTCTGCCTTTCCCATTTCCCTCCCTCTGTGTGTATTTTTTTTTTCGGGAGGACCATCCTTTGTTCGTCCTTTATTTTATTTGTTATTTGTTTGTTTTGGTTCTGGCTAGGTTTCCCTGGCCGGTGAGGTTTTCCTCTGACAGTCGACAGCCTCCGTCTCCGTCTGCGTTTTGCGACTGCGTCTCCGGAGCCGGATCCGGATAATTTATTGCTCCGGCTGCCGTGTCGTGTGTCAAAAGTTTTTATGTGGAAATCTGTCTATGAATGAATCTCCTCTCCACGTATGTCGTATGTGTGCAGGATGCTGAAAATATCAGAATCATTTCGTATTTCGTATTTTGTGCAGTTTCATGCGAGTTTTCGGGAGGCAACCCTCCGCTTGATTAATTGTGAACGCCCAAAGGGGAGTGTTTGCCTTTGACTTTTGTTTGGGCAATCACAATAGTCGCCAAGTCAAATAAATATCCCATTGCTCATTTGCTGTTTGCTTAGCGGCGGAAAATTGAATGTAGGTAAAATCAAATAGGAGAAAATCGTTGAATATCTGCGATGCCACTGCAAAATGGCTGCTGACAAAATATATTCTCGGACTAGAGACAGAGACACTTGTTGTCACAAAACACTCAAAACTCTTGACATGTGCAAAACGCAACGCGGCGTACAAGCAACGCCCACAGCCATTGACACTTGCCACTCACATTTTCACATATTCGGATTTTCCGATTCCCCGATACCCACTCGAAAACCTTGAAAACATTGTAAAACTCTGGCGACAACTGGTCGACAAATGTCACCGCCAGCTGACAGACGACGACAATTTTTCCCAACCTGTCATTCCACGGACCCAAAAGAAAACAACATCTCAATGCAGGAAAATCAAACTCAAATTAGTCGCTGGCCACAGGCAAAATAGACCACTTTGCTGCGAAGTATTTAAACAAATAAAAATCGCCGTGCTACGTGATTTTTGCTGCGTTTTTTCAAATTCCCATGTTTTCTTTTTTTTAGTCTTTCATGGCGTGTGTGTTTTTAGAGCGTGTCGTTAGGAAAATATTTTTACGATACTAAGAATGGGCGATGACGACCCATTTAGCTCAGGTCGGGAATCTGAATAGGATTTGGAGTGGGTAAGGGGCAGAGCTATGTATCTATTAGGATTCATTCAGCTGTGCCTCGGATTCAAAGGTTGCAATGAGGCGTTTACTAAAAAATGAAAGTGGAAAATGAGGATGCTGCGGATGCTGATGCGGGAAGTGATGTCTCACATGACAATTTGTGGAGGGGATGAGATATTTAGAGCACTTATTTATGTATTACTCTAGATTAGAACTAGTCTTCTGTTACTATAATTAAATGTTACGCTTTAAAAATAATTCGAATGGGAGTAAGAGATATTCTTATAATATTTGTATCATAAATCTATATTGGATACAAAGCATTGGATGTTAGTTCTTTAAAATATTACCTAAATAGTTCTTCAGATACATTTGTTATAAATTTTATATTCTTTATAGCCCCTTTATTTGTCTTTGATTGCAAATAATAATTCTGTATCTCAATAAAACCCGATTTAATCAATCTTGACAAAACAATCTTAGTGGAAGTTATAGTTTAAGACCGCTACACTGTTTGTTTGGAAAATTTACGCTCAACAGCCAACACGCTCATAATATAGCAATGAAATTTTAATTACACCCGAACGCACTAATTATGGGCCATAAAAATACTTTTCACGGGGAACATTTAAATTTCCAACGGCATGTGAGGGTGTTGTCGTCGGCATAAATTATGCAACCGGCCATAAACTGAGTGAGCTAGGGGCCACTTCCGAGGGGATGACATTTGTGACTCCTAGCCCCAACGGAAAAGATTCCCTTTGGAATATTTACAGCAAGAAGCAGGAGCAGGAGCAGGAGCATACTAATTGTTTCAAATGTCGCCACGGGTGTTTTTTCGGAACTGGCACTTTAAAAACCACATTAAAATGACAGCATGTGAGAAGGTCATAAATTACGGAAAGTATGCAAAGGAAGCGACCGGGAAGATTTAGTAGGAAGACGGGACCCATGACCATATGGGTGCACACCTTCTTCGCAGGAAGGCCACTTGGCAACCGAAACAGAAATCAATTTCCATGGCCATAAATCTGTGACGAAATCGACTCCGGGGGAATCGTGTCAATGGCTGACTAATTAATATCAAAATAGGCGTGACTAACAACGGCAATTATTAAGTGGCGACCAGCAAATTACTTGACTCATTTAGCGCCGGTAGATTTATGGGGGCCAACTCCAGGGTAATTTCCCCGACATACTTGGACCCCATGGCAGCCCTTTGCTGCAAACGCTAACTAAAGTTTTATAATCTTCCCCTTGGAAGCCATTAAGTTGGCCTCCTCCAGGCGCAATCCGCTTTTTAATCGAGCTAACCAAGAGCCCATCCTGCAGGCTGCAGTGCCATAAATCCTTTTATGAGCTCTTTTACGGGCTCCTCTTTTTTTCTCGCCTAGAAAAACTGAGAGTGAGGGATGGAAGAAGTTTTCACAGCTTTTCCCACAGGCCATTTCTCAGGAGAGATATATCTTTAAAACATGGAAAGGTTGCTGGAAAAAATAAAAAATAATAAGACCATATATATCAGGATTAAGAAACATATGTTTGAGGAACAAATTTATATTGTTTAAAGAATTAAAAAAAAAAACTTAAATTTGGGGATTGAAATTTTATGTTTATATCATTTCCGACCCTATAAATCATATATATTCTTGATCAGCATTAACAGCCGAATCGATTAAGACATCTCCGGTTAAATAATAAATTTTTTTTTTTTAATTGAAATTAAAAATCATTAAAATTCGAAAAAAATTGAAAAAAATTATATATTTTTATATCTTAAATTAAGTATGTAGATTTATTAGCCTAATAAAAACTAACATACGAATGATTTCCGATTTGAAATTAATGCTTTTTTGGCTTAGTTATGACTATTTGAAGGTTTGATTTGTAGTAAGAATAGGCTTGTTTTTTGTTTCATTTTTACAATTATTATTATTTTGTAAATCTACTAAATACTTTGGTTGAAACATAAATTTTTGTGTAATTTTCTCTTGCCCTGCGCTGGCTTGTTCTTTTCAGTTTGGGCCGAAACTGGCGATTTCCGTGATAGTCATAGCTCCATGACCGCCGTAGCAAATAGTTTGGACAGCACCCACTTGAACAACTTTCAGACGTCATCGACATCCACACTGTCGAACAGGAGTCGAGATCGCAAAGATGGTGAGTTAATAAACTTATTTATAATATTAAAGTTGATGTTAAGGATATTTATAGAACAGATAAAGTTAGGCATCTATAGCTCGCATTATTTTTGCTTAAATCTGTACCCTGTTTTAACCCATTGGCTTTAATTTTGGTACAAAATTCGTATTCCCAGCAACGAATCGGTTATCTCCCTACGAACCCCCCGATCGATAAGAAACATAATTTATAATAATTTCGGAAAGCGTGGCCAACGATTTCACCTTTGTCGGCGAAATTTACTCGCCGGGGTCCGTTTAGTTTTCGATTAGACTGCCTTTGATTTGCGACCACCTCACGACGACGGCAACGGCGAGAATGATATTTTCCACGGGGGCAGTAATTTAGTTTATTTGATTAAGTTTTTCGGCAGTTTCTGGTTCGGTTTTGGTTTCGCTTTCGGTTGGGGTTTCAACACAGAAAGCACGCCGCATGATCGATGACACCGGGGAACATACATTAACTGGTTGTAAATCTGTTGGCCGGCGGTGTGCCTTTGAACTTCCACGGCGGTTGTGGGTGATGGGTGTTCGATATTGGGTGTTGAATGTTTGCTGGCGACGCCTGAAGGTTGCATGGCAATTAGTGACGGTGCCAGAAATCGGAGACCGAAAACAGAAGCCGCTCGGGAGACTCCTGCTTATCAACAGTTTAACCCGGGCAAACCCAGACAGGCGGCATAAAAGAGCTTAGCGACAGGGAATATAACTTTCTTAGTTCGTTAATATTTTCTATATCTAATTTTGAAGAGTTATAAAATGTTTAAATTAAATTACAAATATTTATTTCTTTGAACAGGTAATCGCAGTGTGAATGAGACCACGATCAAGACAGAGAACATATCAAGTTCGGGACATGACGAACCGATGACCACCAGCGGCGAGGAGCCCAAGAACGACAAGAAGAACAAAAGGCAGAGGCGCCAGAGGACGCACTTCACCTCGCAGCAGCTGCAGGAGCTGGAGCACACCTTCAGCCGGAACAGGTATCCGGATATGTCCACCCGCGAGGAGATCGCCATGTGGACAAACCTCACAGAGGCTCGAGTCAGGGTGAGTAAAGAAATAATATTACTATTATTATTATTATGTTTAAAAAAACAACATCAATTTATTCCTGCTATTGTATGATAGAATTACAAAATCTTAGAACAATATTTAAACTCTTAATGAGTATCATCAGAAGCTTGAAATGTTTTCCCATTTTGAAATAATTTGAATTATCCAAGAGTTGTGCCTTTTAATTCGTTACCGGCTGGACACCATAATTACCTGGCAGACTAATGCTGGAATTAATTGCCAGCCAAGCCGCAAACGGCAAACAAATGCCGTCGGAGAGGTCCTGCCACATTATGCGGCCATTATAGTCCTGTTCCAATTATATTACCGACCGCAGGAGTCGCGACCGCAATGCAGCCGCACAGACTCGTAAATATGTCGCCTGGTTTGCCGATGGCTTAAACCCCAATGCGGCCAATACGACCAATGCGGCCAATACTCAGCCCCAAAAAAGAAGAACCAATTTCCCTGCACCATCCGGGATTTATGGAGGGTTATATACATGGGGGTTACACAGAGGGAGTAATGGGTGTTGGGGGTCGGTTGCCATAAATTGCCGCGGCTAAAACTGCAGTTGGCGGCGTTTGCAGCATTTGCTGTTAGTAAACCGCGGGCTTATCGAAGGCCCGACCTCAACTGAACTGAATTGAACGACGAGTGTTTGCTCAATATCCGTTCTATTGACACGGGCTTGGGCATTTGTCCATGTCCGAGACGCAATGATATTGTACAGTGGTTATACATAAAGGTTATACACTATCAATCGGTGTATTATTGCAGGCCATCTTATAGTCAGTCTAAATTTCAACTTACATTTTACTTAGTATAAAACTTACTCATAGCTATGATTAGATTGACTCAGATGAAGAGTATACTCTTGATCACAAGCCTCATGAAATCTACAAGAAACTACTATACCCTTCCTATATGGATTGTCTACGCGTAATGCGTAAGAAAAACTAATAAAAGAAAAGACAACAAACAAGATATCTTTGCCGCACAACAGTTGTAATTGTTTGTAAACACGATAGTTAGTTCGGTAAACAATTGGAGTTGTGGCGCCAAGCGGCAAATACCAGAAGCCCAACGATATCTGCGATATATATCTATCTGTATATCTATTTCCAGTTTCATTTCCACTCCCATTCCACATCGCTGTGACAGTCGGTCAGAGAGACGGACACAAAGACAATCGCCAGACAGCCGGTAAAGATATGATAGACACATGATCGATGATCGCCGATCGCTGTTGGGGATCGTGATCGTGATCGAGTTCTGCGATCATTGTCATTGGACGTATGGCGACATCGGCGTGGCATTAATTGTACAGCTAGAAGTGGCCTGAAGCTATCATCGAAATGCAATTAGCCGCGCGATGAACATCTGCGAAGGGGTAGCACCGACCATAAATGCTTCATGGTTTTCCTATGCAAATTTCCTCCTCAAACAACTCTCGCATATGCCAAGAAATCCTGGCCTACCTCGAGCTCTCTGAGCTCTGCACTTGACAGCATTTATAAAGAAATTAGCTGCGGCCCGAACTGAAAGGGAGAGAACCAACCAACTATGGATGGAAACGATGTCAATCTAAACATGTGTTCCTCGCATAAAGCAGCCAGGCTAAACGCATAAAATATTGATACAGTTTGTTTTATGGTCCATTATGTGATGATGACAAAACGCTTTAGCCAGCTTCCTTGGACCCTGCCGGGGGTTTCCATCCCTTTGAAAATGCAAAACAATGCTAGGACAATTTGTCATCGCTTCGCGAGGGTTGTTTAATGAATTAGAAAACCGCACAGGAATTAATGATGATCGTGATCATGCCTTTGGATCTGCCTCAGGGGTGGCTCCTCACATTTGACTTTGACTCCGGATGCCCATTGTAATAGCGGAGGCAATAAAATTTATCAAATATACAAAAGGATTACAGGGCAGTGCAGCCCAGCCAGCCAGCCAGTCAGCTCCCGGGTAGTAATGGCATAAATCTGGCCGGGCTTTAAACTGTCAAAAAAGAGCAGCCCGTCTGAGGAACTGTGGAACTCAGGGGAGAGTTGTTTCTTCTCCGCCTGATAGCTACTAATCCGGGGATTTACATGCGCCGGCAATTATGGCAATATGTTCGCTCGACTTTGTCTCCTTTCTCTTTTTGTTATTTTGTTGTTTTGTTCTTTAAATGTGTCAAATAGAACTCACTTTTTAATTCAATTACCAGTTGAGAAGGACTGGCAGCAACAAGGCCCATAAAAACATTTGTGCACTGTCCTCAATCGGAAATAGAACTGAAGGGGAGGGAAGAGGTGTCTGAATGGAGTGTTTTTTGCGAGTTCCCTTTTATGGTCAGGTGTTGCCAATGGCCCGGAAATGGGAACACCATTTGCCAATCGCCGAAAGTGTATAAAAAAGCCATTGAGAGTGGCCACAAAGGAGCCACAATATGCTGACATGATTGCAGTTTGAATTGGTGTTTCAATGTGGTGGATAATATGGACAGAGGCCTTAAGGCCTTAAGTTAACAAAACACAAATGGATAAAAGGAAATAAAAAATAGAATGGTATATTGTAGCTGAATGAATGTGATTGTTGTGTTTTTAATACCTAGGATATTTTTAGTAAAATCTTTAACTTTATTTATATTTATAAACGTTTGTATCAATATAAATTCGAACCGAGTGCTTCACTCAACCCTTTAACTTGCTCTTTATTTCTGTTTAGGCCATGATTGGGCCACTTTTTGCTCACATATGTGGCCCAATCTATATCTGTATTCGCAGCTGTGGGCCGGAATCAGACCACCAATTAATACTGGAGTATACAGACAGTTGAGCACACAAAGAGACAGCTCTGCGTGGAGTAGTCCACGTATCGATGTTATCTATCGCCCTAGGAAACCGATTTTCACTTGGGCTATTTTCACTATCAGCCGGACAGAGAGAGAGAGAGAGAGAGAGAGAGAGAGAGAGAGAGAGAGAGAGAGAGAGAAAGAAGAACCCCGGAAACGAAGTCCCGGCCCATTTCACACAGCAAATAAAAAACGTATTTAGCTGCAATTTGCGCCATCAATCATGAGAGCTGGTAGGAATAGAAAAAAAAGTAGAAAAGTGGGAAAGTGAGGCCCTAACTTTTGCCACATGGCCACTTTTTGGCCACTCATATTTTCCGTTCTCCTTTCTTTTTTGCCCAAGTCCACAATTTACCTGATGAAGCGTTGCAGGAGCTGTCGAGTGTCATTGATGCTTTCATCAAAACCAATTAGGATTTCCTGCAGGACCCTCGTGCCGTTGAGTGGAAAATTGCGCTGTTCTTTCCACTCTCTCATATTTCACTTTTTCACTTTTGCGCAGCTTCCCCGCTTTCCCTTTTTTGTCTTTTTTATTTTTTTTTGCAGGCACATCAATTTGCCATCAGCATTTTCCAATTTTGTCCTCTCCCATTCTTTTGCCTCGTTTTTTGCAACTTTGGCAACTTGCTAAATGATACGTGAAAATGACAGCTGACGAGATCGATGACGTTAGTTTTGCATCCAGGATGATGCAGGAGATCCTTGAGCCGGATGCTTCTCCAGATGATGATGGTGATGATGATGCTGATGGGGCTGAGCGATGTACCTTGACAAATTGACACATTGCCTTTGGGTAGGGGAAAACGATTTATGCTTTGATTTAAACGGGCACTGAAAATAAATAGGATTGGTATACGAAATATTTAAATATATTTTATATATCTAAAAATAATGTAATAAATCAGTTGATTAGCTTTAAAAATTTATAGATAAATTGAATATCTAGAACTCAAGGAAGTACCATGAGAATATTGTAAGAAGTTGGAGTATCCTAAATTAGTTCTGAGAAATTGTAAAACTTGTAAATGAATCCATTGTAGACTTTCCCTTATCCTGGGAAAACTGCCGCTTTTTCCGCTACTGGTTCTGGCTCATGCGATTTCAATTAACTGCCGCAACTAATTAGATTAAAGCAATTGCCGTTGAAATGTGTGTTCTCTGGCACGCGGCCATAGTTTTCCACTTTTCACTTGTTAGCAGTTAGCGTTGCCCGAAATGTCTCAATCCGAATTTTCCCAGGGAAAAACAAACAGTTTTTGCATAGATCAGCGCGTGTCTGACTTTAGTCACGGCTATCCTAGGGGTTGGGGAGCTCACAGGATGCAGGATTGTACAGATACTCGTGTCCTGGCAAGGGGTGCAGGCCTGCATAGGCCATAAATCTGCAACCCCGGACACGTTGATTTAGGGACAATGTGGCAATGCGGCTACAAGCCGTGAAATTCCAATTCGCAGCTTTAATTGCCCCAACCGAATGGTATCTGTATCCGAATGTGGGAACGCGCTGCGCGAATGTATCTCAAGATGGCCTTAAAGCTGGCATCTCGGAGAGCAAGAAACTCATCTGCGCAGCTCTTTGTCATTTGTATCTTTATCTCGGCACGAGTATCTTTTGTCTGCGCCCGCCTCTCATCTTCTCACTCCCATGGCCAGCGTCATCAGTATATCTGAGCAAACTTCAGCCATAAATTACAAAGTTGCCATTTTGTTTTTATCTCCTCTTTTTTTGTGCGAAATAATTTTGATTTATTTTTGCGCCCTCGCAACTTTTTCCCCCTTCCCCTCCATCACTCTCTGTCTCTCTTGCCACCAACCGACTTTTTTTGGGGTGGCAAGCCGAGTTTATTTATATAAAGCTCTCCATTAAAAAAGGCACCAAGAGCGGCCTTCCCCCAGACTGGGAGTATTTATGTATATATTTGTATATTTATAATTACTGCACATGCGTATTGCGGGGAGCCTTTTTTGGGGGAAGTTTTCCCCGTTTTCGCCCCCAGCAGATACATAAATTTTCAAGTTATAAATTATACAAGAAAATGGCTGCCTGCGGAGCTTAAAAACCTGCGGGGTTCTTAAATAAGAAGTTGACTTTTGGATTAAAGAATGTTAGTGAGGAAATGGTAGACAAATTAACTTGAAATTTTGGGCATATAAAAAACATATAATTTGAAAAATATTTATATGTTCAGTAACTAAATAGAACTTAGTTTGTTTTGTGGGCAATTTGAACTGAGTATAATATAGTTTTAATTGTTCAAATGATAAACAAACAATGACAGAACTTTACATTCACATTAAGAGCAGTTTAATTTATTTTTCTAAGTAATTCTATTTAAGGTTACTTAAACTAATCAAAGGATCCTTTTCCATTTAATTTCAGGTATGGTTTAAGAATCGACGTGCCAAGTGGCGCAAGAGGGAACGCAATGCGATGAATGCGGCTGTGGCAGCGGCGGACTTCAAGTCAGGATTTGGGACGCAATTTATGCAGCCCTTCGCCGATGATTCGCTGTACAGCTCGTATCCGTACAACAACTGGACCAAGGTGCCATCGCCGCTGGGCACCAAACCCTTCCCGTGGCCAGTGAATCCTTTGGGATCGATGGTGGCCAGCAATCATCACCAGAACTCGGTGAATTGCTTCAATACGGGTGCCAGCGGGGTGGCGGTGAGCATGAATAACGCCGCATCGATGCTACCGGGCTCGATGGGCTCCTCGCTGAGCTCCTCGCTGGGCAATGGCTCCAATGTGGGAGCAGTGGGTGCCCCCTGTCCGTACACGAGCCCCGCCAATCCGTACATGTATCGTGCCGCCGCCGAGCCGTGCATGTCCTCCAGCATGTCCTCGAGCATTGCCACGCTGCGGCTGAAGGCCAAGCAGCATGCCTCCGCCGGCTTCGGCAGCCCCTACTCCGCTCCATCGCCCGTGTCCAGATCCAACTCCGCCGGCCTCTCCGCCTGCCAGTACACGGGCGTGGGCGTGGCGGACGTGGTCTGAGACAACGCCCTGGGTGCGCTGCTCAACCAGCACCAGCACCACTTGCAGCACTTCTCGGGCGGATCGGTGTCGCATCACCAGCAGCAGCATGGCGGTGGTGGTGGCAACATGGGTCACCTCCAGCACTCCGGCATGCTGGATCACTCCGACCTCGGACTGGGGACTGGGACGGGATTGGTTCCGCCGCCGGATGATGGTCACCTGGAGGACGGCAACAAGTCCCCGATGGAGGCCAATGGGGGAGCCAACAATAATAATAACAACAACAACGACAATGACGACGAGGACGTCATCGATTGAAAGCACTACTTAAATCAAACTAAACACTAAATGAAAGGCAACACCTAGCCCTAAGTAATAAATTAATTTAGATGTTTGCAAAAGTCAGGGATGACCACGCAGTGATCGAGAGGGTCGTCTGAAGGTCTGACAGGACGATATGCCATAGAACACTGTGTGAGCTGCTCTGGCTTAAAATAAGACGATAAATTAAATAACAAGAAATCCCTTTCCAAAGTGAACATTTTTTGAAGAACAATAATTAAATTTATCAAGCGCAGAAGTAACCACCGCTAATTGGAACTTCTATTTTATTTGTGTTGAGATTAAAAGCTAATTACGTTCGCAGCCCCAAGTCAGACATTAAGTGTTTTTGTACATAAAAGCAAATATCTAGTTATACAGAAAATAAATTAAATGAAGCGGAACCCCCTTAACTAATCAAGCCAAAAATAAACCAAAAAATCCCATTTCCCTGCTCGATTTCAATCAAATGGAGTGGAAGGGGGTTAAAGTTTAACATTTTCAGATTAAAATTAATTAGTTCATTTTATAAAAATACCAACTCCAAGTCATTTGATTGAAATGGGAAAGCGAAAACCAGGCAGGATAATAGCCAGTCCCAAAGAACATATAATCAACTGTCAGTCCTAGTTCCAAACTTCAGTTCCCCATCGTATATCGTATGAATATAAAACCAGAAACGTATCAAGATTGTAAAACTAAAGCTAAAGCTACCACTAAAGAGGAAACTAAAACTATATCAAAGCCGTAGCAGTTTTTAAGGAGTTGTCTAGTCGTATAGAAATCCGCCGGATATGGCATTTGGCATATACTTGTCTGTCTGTATATGTACGTGTATATCCCCACTAAAGAGCCCCCGTATAAATATAAACTATTTAATAATTGTACACTTAATATTACTAGTTATAGAAATTGAATCAAAAGAACAATAAAAAGTATGGAAAAAAAAACATTGTGAACATATCGATGAATGAATTACGATGGGCAAATTGCGGTCAACCGCTGGGATAACGAATGGCTTTTTTTCCTCCCGTCGCGTCGGAAAAGCGGTGAGGGAAATGGAAAAATTAAAAAATCAAATTGTAATTTACAGGCCACAGGGGGCAGTGCGGGTTCTTTGGGCTGGCACGGGAAACTTAATTTAAAGCAGCTTTCCGGGTTTTCCTTCTCCTCATCCTCTGACAAGCAAGTGTTTAATTCCAAGGTGAACCTGGTGCAAAAAGATCCATCCATCAATTTATTCATTACAGCGAAATTATGTCGCATTTATATGCACCCCGCCGACCGCCGAGTGACAACCCCCCGGAAAATCACCGCACAATAAAAATAATAATAAAAGGACATCCCGTCCCAGCCCTCGAGGGGGTTGCTTTCCGTTTGGGCATCAAATTTGAATTTCATATGCTGCCCGCCTTGATTGAAGCCAGCTAATAAAGTGCCGGGGAAAAGCGAGGAAACTGGGGGGAAATAAGATTTCCCGCTGCGTTAAGCATCCATTAGGGAGATGGTGGTGGGGGTGAAATTGCGACCCGGCGACCATTTGATTTATTTTATTCCCCTTTGCCCGCTGTTAATGTTTTAATAAGATTGATTTTATTGCGGCCTCCGTTGGCTCTGTCTTCTATCTGGCTGCTGGGTGTGGGTGTATTTGGCCCAGCTGGGGAGTCAAAGGGTTAATAAGTTGCCATCCAGCTGTTTAAGGAACTCTATTATTGTCGCCAGGCTCAGGATACAACTCTTTATGGATCCTAGGTAGATGTAAACTAAACAGAACGAAATTTTTCAGGGTATTCTAAGATTCAGTCAAAAGCTTAAAAATAAGTGAAGGAGTCATTTTCGACCCTATAAATTATATATATTCTTGATCAGCATTAAAAGCCGAATCGATCTAGCTATTTTCAAAATTTTAAAAATTGTATACGGGGTTACATCGTTAAAATAGTCATATTTTGGCAAAAAAAAAAAATGATTTTTTTAAATTATAAAAGTTAGTAACCAGATTTGTTAGTCTTTCAAAAACTAGCACAGAATAGAAATCCGAATTGAAATTAGTGGATTTTGGCTTAGTTATGATGGATAGAACGTACTAACCCATGATTCTAAGGTTAATCACAAGAGTATACACACTCCAGCTTCCCGAAGTTAGCTATCTTCCTGTTTTTGTTGTTTTATATAACCCAATGTAGTTAAAACATATAAAAATCTATGTATGGTGTATTTAAGGTTTATTTGTATAAAATTTTTTTCTGCAAATTTCAGAGCTTAAATGAATAGTGGTAAAGTTGAATTGAAATTTGTTATCCTCGAACTTTTTGCCGACGGTCTTCATGTCTCCACTCATTTCTGTATCCATGAACACACTCGCGCAATTAACTTTTCGGCGTAATTAATGCCGAGCCTAATTATTGTTAATCAAGCTCAGGCCGTCAACCAGGCAGCCGGCACAGCCAGCCGCATAATGGATGAGCCGCAATTAAAATCAACTTCCTATACGTGCTCGACGGGGGAAGTACAGCGATAACAGCGTGACTCACACACAGAAATATGTTTCAATAAAATAAGTAAATAAAGAGAAATATTTGTAAAGTTTTTAATAAGTTGAAGCACTTAAAAAACCATTGGTTATACTATCAGAAACTTATGATTTCAAATGCAATGAAAAATTCCCAATAGTGGTAACTATCTTCAATGCAGTTGAAATAATATTTCTTCAGTCACATCTTTTTAAGTATTGTTTAAGATTTGTGAAACTTTCAATCATATCTTTTTCTTTTAGTGCATTTCAGGACCTTTTCGCGACCTCGCATCTCTGGGACTTGCCCGATTTTCCGCGCAGGAGAAACGCCATCTTGAAACTGTCCTAAGACACAACGCATGCTGTCAGCCATTATTTGCCTGCTGCTCCTGCTCCTTCTGCTGCTGCTGCTGATGTCGTCCCCATTTCTTGAAGTGCCAACCCCCTCAGTTCATCCTTATGTAGAGACAATCAGAGAACCAGTCAAGTTTCTGCTCCTCTGGTTTGGCCCCAATTCCGGCGGATGATTTCCCATCATTTACTTTGTCAGTATGCGGCAGCTCCATCATTATTATTGTTGGCCCCGCTTCTTTGTTTTTTGCTACATACCAACCCGTCATCGTAATCATCGTCATCATCGTCTTGGCTGCTGGATTTTTCCCTTAGGTACTTGTCTTTCTTAACTCATTGCGTTGGCAATAAATCTTCGACACTCTTATCTGCCAGGCACAGTTTGGGTTCGGGTTCTGGCATGGATTTCCCCCCAACAGAAGCATCCCCCATAGTTGGTTGACTTTCACTGGAGCTATGCCTACTATGGCTACATAGGCGTAGAATCTATGGCACCTGCTTAGTCAAAGGGTTTATGGCTTAATGAGTCCTTGGACTTGGCCATTTAAAATTAAATTCCAGGCAGGAGCTTTAAGCCTCATTAAACGCAGGGGATGAAGTATTCACTGAGGAAATCTGAATAATTGCCCAAAAATGAAGATAATAACAATGAATGCCCGTACCAGCTGTTAGTGGCCCCGTTTATGGCCGCCCATAAAACACATCTCATATTTGACTGGCCTTTATTTATTTATTTCAAATTTACTTGTTGGCCATTTTATGATGCCAAATTCTGACCTGACCTGGAAATCATAAAAATTGTAATCAAAATGTTTGCCGCTGCAGAACGGTTTATGGCCCACAAACAAGGTCAGTCAGGGAAATTCTAATAACGCCTAAGCGCGAGTCCGGCCAAAAAGGAAAATGGAGCCAAAAGCTTCAGAAGCGAGCGGCCAACAGAAGCTGAAGGCTCAACGCTTATGGCTTTTTAATGGCGCCGTGTGTCGGTTTTGTGGCAAATAAAATGGCGCACATTAAAACGAGGCCAAAGAAGGAGATGTTGCGAGCCTTGCAGGACCAATTGCAGTGGCCCCCGACCCGACCCGAGACCGGGACTCCTTCATATTGGGGTCATGCATGGCAGCTCTGGGTAAATAAAAAATACATAAAAATATTTTACGAGCCATGGCCCCGGGAATAGAAGGAATAGAACGGCGCCCAAGGAGCTCAAAATTATAGGATACCGCCGACCAGAAGGGGACAGGACAGCCGGATTGCAATAAAAATGGCGGCAAATAAAATTGACAATATTGTCATGCGCGCGATTTGAAGCCTGCCTGCCTGCCTGTGGGAGTGTGGCAATCCTCGGGTCTTGGCAACAAAATGAGTAAATTTTAATTTACTTAAAAGGCATAAATAAAAGCTGGGGGAGTGCCTGGGAAGAGTGAGAAGCTATTTCTTAGGTTGTTCTAATGGGGGTTGACTTTGCTTGGGGTTAAATACATTTGTCTGATAAATACTAGCAGTTTGATTTTAAAATAATACTTAATGAGTTGCTCTTACTGTATTGTAATTTATATACAATTCTTGGTTAGGTAATAAATAACCATTTCTTGAAACCAAAGATCGTAGTAACAGGAAACCAAGGCATACACACACTCATTGTTAAAGGCCTCCCTTTTGCTTCTCTAAAACATTCTAGTAATTTCGTATTTATACTGGCTTTTTGTGACTTTGCTTTGCTTTGTTTTATCTGCTATACTAACTTTTTATAGAGCAGTCTTGGTGTTGATAAAATGCAAAAGAAGTGCCGGCGGCAAAACGCTAAAAGGTTTGCCCTTTTCCTCTGGAAACCCCATTCGCAGTCTCACCACCGAAAGGACTCCACCTCCTTGCGTACCCCTGTCCTTGCTTGTATCATTGAGAGTGTGGAGCCAATGATTATTCCGGGTTTTGTCATTTCAATTCGCATTATCCTTTGCACTTATTTTACTACTTTGTGCGCCACTGCGTGTGTTCTCTGTGTGTGTGTCTCGGCTCTGTAGCTGTAATTGTGTCCTGGTCTGGGTTACAGGACGAGGCCGAGGGTGTGTTTGTGTAATGGCGGGTTGCGGGTGTCGTCTCCCTCCCATCTCCCGGCTCCTTTTCAAGCAACTCGTATTGTCATTGTGCAAATAAAATATGTCACGAATCGCCCAACCCCTCTGCTCGCAGGATGTGCTTTTTGGGTCCACCCCAAAGAGGAAACCCAAACACGCCCCCTGCCATTGCAGGAGTGGGTGTGTGTGTGTGTGTATCTAACCTTTTGTGCCCATTGTACGCGACGCACACCCACACGTACAATGGGGTAAATGTTTCGGTTGCCTTCGAGCATCAAGAAATGAGAATCGCTTTTATATAAACTTGGATGAATGAGGATGGGCGGTTGATGTGGTTAAAAGGAGTCAAACAGCCTTGATTCGTCCTGTGAGTCCTGTGTGTCTTTTGTGCAGAGAGAAAAAAAGGTAAGGCAATTGGTAATGAATTCCTATTATATTTCTTACCTATAATAGTTTCCTAAAATATACAGACTAAGAGAAAGAATTAATTAAATGATAAGATACTTCACTAACTATGTATATTTGCTTAATTTAGATACATACAAGGGCCTATAGTTGATACCATAAATGGTAAACATATTCCTAGATCGAATGGTAATCAATACCAAATCTCACTTTATAAATTCAGCCAAGCTTAATCCTTTCTATATATAAATATTTTCTCTACTGACTCTACAAGTGATCAAATTTAATTGCGCGTACGTTTTTAGTTGGACCAAAAACCCTTTCTTTTTGCCCTTTCCATTATTCCAAAAAAAAAAACGCTTTTCACTTGACAAGCCAGGGAAATAAACAAACTACAGAGAAAGCCAATGCCAAAGCCGGAGCCAAATCCAAATCCATGATTTCAGCTGCCAAATCCTTTTCAAAGCTTCAGCCAGGTGAAAAATAACGAAATATTGTATTTTTCATACATTTTTATAAAATATAAATACACACAACCGTGGGTGAGTGTGTGGGTGAGTATCTGTGAGAGTGCTATGTGTGTGTGCCTGAGTGTGTGTGGGCCAGGCCACTACACAAGTTTATAAAAGACACTCGAGTGGCGTCGCCTCGCTCTATTTTCCGCCATCCCACTCTGACGCTCTCGAATGCCATGTCTTTGTGTTGAGTGCTTTTTGGCTAAATGCGAAATCGATTGGAAAACAATTTCCAATTTTTAAAGAATTATCGCCGCCATATTCGCGCATGCTGTACTAAATCACACATAAGCAACCTCTAAATCTGCTGCCCGGGAACCCAAACACATACACACATGGCACATGGCACATGGAAAGAGGACGACCTTTTCGCAAAGCTTTTCTTTTTGGCTCGTTTATTTCCTTTTTATTTTCCCTCCAGCCATATTTTCCATTTCATTTTCTGCGCGGTTGGCAGCGCGTTTAGCTTTGGCTGCACGCCTCGCCGACTTTCTGCTATACCAAAAAATATATACATTTATATATGCACACACCGAGTGTGGCAAACAGCATTGGATGCACAAATAAATCAAAGAATTTAGCACATTTCTAACCTGGAGATTACCATTTAATAAATTCTTTTTAAAGAATAGAAGATATATTTCTAGAAAAGATGTTTTCAGGGGGCACATTAAGACATAGCAAAGATATCTTCTTGATTAGTATAATTATTATAATTCAAAGCAAGTAATAACTGAACCAGATATAAAATGTAAAAAATAGATAACTAACAAAAATCATTTGTATTAATTTATAATGTATTTAATCAATAATTCCAGACTACAAGTATTATTCGTGTACCGGCGACTGTACTCCGACGTGTGTTATCTGCACCGCAATGGCCACTGAGGTGGGCTGGCTCTTGAGAGGATGGGGGCTGGCTGGGGACCCGCAGCCATTTAGTTTTATGTGCCCTGTTCGGTTGGGTTATTGCACCTTTGACTCGCTCTGGACGGGAGCACCACCTTCGACTGGAGTTGTCACCCCGAAGGGACATATCCACAAAGCATTTCGCATGTGAGCCATTTATTATTATTTGCCTTGAGAGCCCGCCGAGGAGCCCAATCCGGTGCCGAAGGCGAACCCAAACCAGCCGCAAGTATTTCCTAATCAGGTTTTAACTACTAATAGGATTTCCGAGGTGGCGAATCGTAATTTACATGGCTTTGGCCCGAGATACCCAAAGAATTGAATTGGAAGCCAGAGCAAAGCTGCCGCTAATGTATTGCAGATTATGGTAAATCCCTCAGGCACTTCCCATCTTCCATCTTCCAGCTCCCATCTCCCATCGAATCCGAGGCCGGGCTTCCGATTCCCACACGTGTCCTAGCACTGAGTAGATCCTATGGAGATGCCGCTCAGGTCCCGGAAGGGTGTGAAACGCCGGTGCCTTCGCTGGCGTAGGTAGCTCCGCACCTCAAAGCCCACATTGCACAACACTAGGACTGTCATCACCATGGTAATGATCCCGGCAAAGATCACCAGGAACCAGTGGAAGTAGCAGCTCATGGTCACGGGCCGCGGCAGCCAGGGGCTCCAGGTGTCGGTGCATTGTTCCGGGACACATCTGCCTCTTGGATTCCGTATGCATCCCTTGGCACAGCATCCGTTGGTACTAAAGCTTCCGCAGGCTGCCACATCGGTCAAGGCATTGGAGCAGTTTACAGAGGCGGAAGCCTCCAAGGGCACAAGGAGCAGGTGAGCCAGCAGGCAGGCGGTTGTCAGACGGGCCAACATATCGCACATCAACTCCACTATCAAATCAAGGTACGAATATCATGCATATCCCGAGATCAATTTGGAAGTTTTCACTAGATTTGAGGCTAAGTCAAAAGCTACTGCGTGATATAAAACTTAAAACTATATCATTATCATTTCATTTAATTAAAGATTGTTCTGTATCCGATTGATTTTAGCTTAGAAATTATATTTTATTAGTACTACAAAAAAATTAAAATGTGTTGTTTTAACAATTAGTTAGTGGTATAAGAGCCTTAACAAGTCTAATGAAATTCAAAACTTATAGTGTTTTCATGGTAAAATTGTAACATTTATTTCACTTATTAATTTGGAATTAATGTTAGTTTGAAATATTTAAGTCACAGCATAATTTGACGGAGTTTTCATAATTCTCTTTTAATTTCCCTCACTATTAATAGTTCATTAATTTAAATTTAAAATTAAAACTCTATTGTGTCTGTGGAATTACTATTTTCCAATTTATCCTTGCTTTTGGCTGCCAGATACGCCCTAGCTACTTCGGCCCGCTCCATGGCCTCCTTGGCCTCTTGCTCCTGTTCCAGCGGATTTTTCGGTGGTATGTACTCCGGTGGATTCTCCCCTCGGGGATTTGGAATGAATGGAACATGTGGCCAGACGGAGGGCTTGGCCTGTAGGAGCCATAGTTCATCCAACTGGTTTTGGAGGTGCTGCACCGCCTTCTGATGACGATTGGCCAAGAAGTAAGTACATCCCAACCAGATGGAGGTCATCAGAATTACACAAATTATGATTAGAATGTCGATGGGTATCTGGGTACCGACATCCGCCATTGGGGGAGATTGTTGAGCTTTAGCCATTCTTTGGCAGAACCCGATGATCAGGAGGAATATAAATTGTATAGTCGGAGTTTTCATGACGCGTTTTCCTTTTCAACTGAAGCTGCACCGATCGGGGCAGTCGGCTTTATAGGGGCCACTTATCGGGACTTGAGAATTGTGTTTTCCCAGAACGGTCTCTGTGGGGTTTTGGTAAACACAATCTTTAATTAAATTCTCTCAAGTGACCTCTCTGGAATATATATTTGTATAATGCTGGAGTTCAGTCAGAAGCATAAAAAGTGAAGGAGTCATTTCCAACCCTATAAACTATATATATTCTTGATCAGAATTCAAAGCCGAGTATAAATTTTTGAAAATTATTCAAAATTTTAAATTTCTATAAGGGGTTACATCGTTGAATATGTTCAAAATTTGACAAAAAATTTAATTTCTTATTATTTAAATCTAAGTATGCATATTTTTTAACCTTATAAAAATTACCACAGAAATGTTTTCCGAATTAAATTTAATAGACTTTTAGCGTAGGTATGAGTTTTAAAAAATTTGATTTGTAGACCATAATATTAAATTGCAAGGCGAAAGAGTATATCAACTTCGTCTGTCCGAAGGAAACTTTATTGTTTTGTTATTACTTTTAGTTAATTATGGAACTCCGTAGGGCTTAATTATTGTGGCTACAGATGAAACAGAGAGACAGGGGGAAATAGGAGTCTGAGGCCTGATTGGAAGTGCCACATCATCATCTATTCGAAATAATTCAAAATTCACTCGAACTCGTTCAAAGAGACCGTAAACCAAATCGGCATAACAAAGTGATTCTAATGTAATTCGTGATTTTGCATAATAATAAAGTTAATAATTAAAATTGTTGCGTGCTCAAAAGCGAAATGAAAACATTAAACTTTAATGACGACTTCCGTCTCTTTCGGGCCGGTGGTTGGTCAGGTGCATTCGCTCACAACTACATTTACAGGGTGGCTTAGGGGTGCGCATAGCTAATGCGTAAATATTAGCAAATGTCCCTCCCCGGCAACCCCTTCCCGCGCCCACAATAAATTTGAGACACATATGCAGAGCGTTTGTAATAAGCAATCAATTATTATTATTGAATTTCGGGCATGGTCAGTTGCCAAAGGGAGGGCGGTGCAGGTGCTGGTGGCTGCTGGTCAGCGCCACTAATGCGTCTAATGAGAATTTAAGCACACTTCAGCCCGCTCCACTCCTCGATTTGGGTCCAGCCCGGCAGGAATTTTGGTATTTTGCGTGGATTTGCACAGCGCACATAGCCCCCACTTAGGCCCTGGGTACAGTTGTGCTCGCTACGAATGCAAATGCAATTACATTTCGAGCCCATTTAGCGGCATTTCGGTTTCAGCTTTTCATATTTTCCCAATTTTCCCAATTTGTTAGTCCTCGAAAGCACAAATCTGTGATTTGCGGTGGGGCTTTTATATTTTTAGGGAACGAGTTCGGAAAACATTCGATGGGGGTTTCCAATGGAAAATACTTAAGTATATTTAAAATGGTAGAATTAATAATTGAAGCATGTTTATAATATAATAATGGATTTTAAAAACAAGAATTTACTAAACTTAGCTGGAAATTAAGTACCTTGTTGACCTTGTTGGTGGCTTCTGACCAGGAATAAAGTATAAAATCTTAGAAAAAAGCAGGTTATCATATTTAGAAAAATTTCAATGCCCCATATATTTAACCATTCCCTTGCTGGTCCTGACAATTATTAAAGTGTAATGTTTTTATGAAATACTCTTATGACTTGTGACTCGTACAACTGGTGCTGCTGGCTCCACTTATCCCTTAAAAATGCGACTTTATCAATGTTTATTCCTCTGAGATTTGGCCAAACACAATCTGTAATTCAAGGCTCCCAAAAGACATTTGGAAAATAAGTATATACCATAACATGTGTGCGTTACTTAATGCATGTAATTAAAATACAAATATGAGTTTTAAATATACAGATAAATACCAGTAACTTAAAGTAAAGGAAAAATAGGAGTACTAATTTGTTTAGTTTTCCACTAACTCAACCCCATTCGTCGGCGCCCCTGCTAATTGCTGTTCAAGGGACCGTGCTAAACCACCATCGTTAATGATAATTTAATTATTGCCCGGAATTTCGGGCTTTGGCGACTTACGCACTCAGTGAGCTGCGAACGATGGGTGTATATGCATGCAGGTTGTGGCCGGCTAATTGCACAAATCTGAGTATATCTGGGGTCAGTTAGTCAGTTAGTCGCTTAGCCCCGCGGCCCTTATTAACTGATAATTGCAATAACCTGCAGCCAGGCTGTGGGGTGGGGGATCAGGTGTGTTCGCGAATTGGCAGGCGGCATAAAACACAAAGCGGGAAAAGCCGCGAATTTCGCCATCCATTTCCAAGATAGCACTGACATATGAACTTAACTCGCAAATGGATGTGAGCCGGCTGGGTATTGTAATAATAAAACAAAAGTGTCAGCCAAAGATATGCGATTCGGATGCATGGAATCCATATTGAAAATTGATTTAAATTTTTAATAGGCATCAGGCAGTGGCGGCGCTTTGATAAAAATTCCAGGCACGCGGCAATCGCACAATCGAGGCTTACGTCCCAGAAAGATATATCTGATATATCCGAAGCCCTGACGGGGGCTCTAGTTAAATATGGAAACAATATCGAAATGCCAACGGAAATCGGCTGATGCTGAAACTTGCAAGGGAATCGCTGGCGCCAGATCGCATTCGTGCATTTATATTTGTTTTCGGAGCTGTCAAATCATATTTTAATCTGTTTTGATTGCTGACTTTTGTGCGAGGGATTTGTGCAGACAGCAGCACTGCCAGCGGAAATGCAGCGGAAAATATTGCATTTTATTTTATTTATGCAAAAAAAGTCAGCGAATATGCAGTGAATTTAAATGGAAAGCCCGTGCGTCCCGTTCCCGTTTCCCGTTCCTGCTGCCAATTTTCTCCGGGTTTTCTGCTCGTTGTGTGCGTTTTCCATTTTTTTCATTTGATGTGCCCGAGTTAAGCAGTAAAATCCACTTTTTACGAGTTGTCCCCGGATTCCTCGTCCAGCCACGCCCTCTTCATTCGCATTCTTCCGCCCCATTCCCAGGAGCCTTGTGTTACTCATATGAGTTGGGTGGTAAGAAGCACGCATACAGACCCCGAAATTTGTCAATAAAATATTTGCAGGCTAGAGGTGAGCAAGAAAACGCAGTATTTATTTAACAAAATTTAAATTATTTCATGGTATATTTTCTCTTAAGAAATATAGTTTAAATCTATTAGATTTTTGAGGCTGCCTAGTTCCGAAGCATAACCACTTTAAGGAAAACTAATGTGATTATAATTAAAGTAATTAAGAGGGAATTACAAAGACTTTTTCATTATATAAACGAAATGAAATTAACTCTGGAATAATTGTAATTGAATTATAGGATCAAGTCGGAAATGTTTCACTACTGGGCTTAAAATATTCGCAGTTCTTGAATCCACATATTTTATGATTATTTCCGGAAAATCAAAGTTTTAAAAACTCATAACTTAGCCAAAAATGCATTAACTTTAATTCGGAACCCTTTCCTATGTTAGTTTTTGTAAGGTGAAATAATTTGCATACTCAATTTATTGGCTGTTAATTCTAATCAAGAATATATATGATTCGTAGGGTCGGAAATGACTCCTTTACTGTGCTCCACGCTTCTGAATGAAATTATATTTCCTCGCAAGGGTACAATAATGAGCTAAGGTATTTTCAATTCGTCAGCCAAATAATATCTTAAAAATTAAAAAATAAAAATTTAGTATTTTATTATATACTTATATATATTCCTAAATAAAATCATTATCCATGTGGTTACAGTGCCTGGCGAGTGGATCTCATCACTAACTCTGCTGCTCCTTTTCGCCTTCGTCTCTTGTTCTCCTCGCGGCTTTGGCAGTGACTTAAATACACATAACCATAGATGGTGTCACTGGGCAAAGGACCTCGTCCTCGTCCTCGTCCACGTTCTCGTCTACTCTGTCCTGGCTAGATTGTCAACATATTAGCTTCAAATTGCTAAAGTTCTGCGACTTTTGCTGTTGCCTCATTTTCTCACGCACGCACAACGGCTATGGGTCCTCCACTCACTCTCTGTATCTTTCTCTCTCTGTACACTTAAAGATATAGGGATATATACATAATGTTTTAATCATTTTTAATTTTTCTAAAGTTTGTTCTAGTCGATTATTTAAATGGAAAACTATGATAAATGAAAAATTAAGGTTTGGGAACATGAGATCTTGTGAGAGGTTTCAGCACTCATATTAGTTACCTTTATAATTAGTATATAATAAAGAAAGATACTCTTGAAAAATTTTAATTTAAACCTTTTGGACAAATTATTTATTTATTATTATACATTATTTTTTAGCTTTTTAAATATCATATATTCGAATAATATTATAAATTTGATATTAAATAAGTTTATAAAAAAGTTTGTTCTTTTTATGTCATTTTAGGTTTCGCAATCATAAAGTATCTAAAAAGTTAAAATGTATCTTTAAAGACATTTTAGTACTACTGACATTATTTTTTCTGTGCATGGTTTGCCTGTGTGTCAGCATTGTTTAATGTGGTGTTGCCAACTATTTTAGCCAAAAGCTCACACGGGTTGCGCGGCCGGGTGATTTGCTTGCTTAGCTTAACGTGGCCAGGACGGGACATTGGCGGAGAGGGAAAAGCCGTCCGCATTTCCCTCCTTGTCCGGCCATCCGGCCTGTCCGGCTGTCCGCTCCCATCTCCGGCGAGATGCTTTCGCTTTTGGCGCTGAAGCGTTCGGTTGACATTCGTAAAATCTCTTAAAATCCCGAAGGTCGTTGCCAGGGATTTTCTCAGATTTTGCTAGATTTAAATGAATTAGTTGCCTTGGCCGGGCCGCTTTTGGGCCGATTGATTTTCTGACCTTTTCTCGTATTTTTTTGTTTGCGTTTTTTTTTTT